TATCCGCATATGGTGCAGTAATAATTCTTAATCAACTAACGCTGCAATATCACGTTCTATTATTACATGGATAACAAAAATAATTATTTTGTACAACGCTTGTGTACACAGTGATTGATAAAAATGTTGTTGTTTGACAACTTAAAAAAGGAGGCACATTTTATTTGGACGTCTCTATTATAAACCGTTTACCTAAAAATTGTTAATACAAATATTGTAAAACTACAGAAAACCGTAACCATGTGCATATTGAATCATGAAAGCATATTTTTACGATCGTTTTTCACCTGTTGTTTTATACGAACACAAGTGTTAAAGATTGTCATAAGATGTACGTTTTAACACAAAACAGGAATACTAAATATTTTAACAGCATTTTATTATTTGTGTTGGAAAGCATAGTTCAATATATACTATCTCTGATGAACTTCACTGCAGCCACGTTAGATACGAAACTCAAGATATTGAAATTAGAGCGAAACCACAAAATTAATTCCCACCCCTGTAAACGGTTTGAGACAAAGAAGTTGTGGTGCAAAAAATATTCTTCTGGCAGTTGAACAGCAAATAGAAAGTATGCTTAGATATATTTATACTCAGTATTAATATGCCTCAGTTTCAACACGAGTTTTCCAATAAAGAAACCTGCATTGAAATCACATACATCTAATCAGAAATCGCTGATCAGTTCTTTGAACATACATGTTTTTGTGATATAGGAGTAACATCAGTACTCAGTTTTGGCAGGTAATTTTAGAACACATAAGTTCCAGGGAAAATGCTAAAGTTCGCTATAGATATACTGAAAAGAAATTATATAGCTTTTAAAATCCCCCGACACTGATTTAGCGAATGTAGAGTTGTAATTATCATAGCATATGACAAGACTAAAGATTAAGGTTATGATAATCGTTCTGTATGTATTTCTCACATTTCTTTTTCTTCTTTTTTGAAGAATGTTTTTGACAGAAAGCTTTACAAGTTTTCTTTTACAGGCTGTATACGTTTCGACTTTACCCAAAACTTTAAAACGTGAATAACAAAACACAGATTATACATTTCGACTTTATCCAAAACCTAAAAACGTGAATAACAAAACACAGATGTATACGTTTCGACTTTACACAAAACTTAAAAACGTGAATAATACAGATGTATACGTTTCGACTTTACCCAAAACTTAAAAACGTGAATAATACAGATGTATACGTTTCGACTTTATCCAAAACCTAAAAACGTGAATAACAAAACACAGATATATACTTGTTTGGTGTTAGGCGGATTCAAACCCGAGACATGCATATTACGAGTCGAGCGCTCTAACTACCAGGCCATGCATTCTTCAAACTTCTGAATATAGTAGTTATATTGACATAAAATATTCAAAAATTTTACTGATTTTTATATGCTCAACTGTGACGTCTCATTTGAAAGACATCTTTCTTTACAAGATACAACGTCCCTATGTTCCTATAAAAATATCAGCCTTTATTCACTTTTCTCAAACACTGGCGTTTCTGGGCTTTGATTTGATGTTTGCACTAGGTTGTGTCTTAAAGGCAAACTGTTAGACTTCATAAAGTCGTGATTTAGAAAGTTAACAATTCTCATTGCAGAAATGTTGTTTGTCACAATGAAATGTTGTTTGTTCGCTTAAAATATGCAAGTTTAGTACTTCTTAAAATCGCTTTGTTTGCTTTTACAAGAGAATGCTGGAGCTCATTAGAATACTAATGGAATTTCAGGGAGCAGATTGAGAGGTGGACAGCAGATTTGATGTCATATGCAGCTTAGAAGTTGAGAAATAGGCAAGATAATTTACATAATTACATACTCAATTTGTCACAAACTCTCTACTCTATATAAACACAACAAACGTGTGTGGTATTTGTAAATGAACCACGCTTTAAATACAGTAAAAGATGAAAAGTTTCTTTAACTTCGAATTCTTTAATGATACAGAGTCAGATAAACGAAAGGTTTGGTTTGTTCCCGATGCTAGCGCAAAGGTACAAGAGGGTTATCTGCTAGCGCAAAGGTACAAGAGGGTTATCTGCTAGCGCAAAGGTACAAGAGGGTTATCTGCTCATAGTAGTCCGTAATGTTAAACAGAGAGATTAAACGGAAGGTAGATAGTCAACAAAAACCAATAACAGCACTGGCGGTGCTCGAATCGAATAGTAGAATTTAAATGTCACTCTTATAACACGATCATGGCCCAAATTTGCACATAAAGATTTTTTTTTCGGCAGCGATGTGAGCTCGCTATTGTTGTTTGTTATTAAGTACAAAGCTACACAAAGGACTATCTGTGCTCTGCCTACCACGGGTATCAAAACCCGGTTTCTAGCAGTATAAGTCCGCAGTCATCCCGATGTGAGCTCTTGAATTCACAATCTAGAACGTTAACAATTATAGATGGATAACTAGATAAATATATACTGAAATTCTTTTATACATGTATGCATATTTTTCAACATAAAACACACGGATAACAAGTGCTAGGATAAATGTAAATATATAACTGTCAGTATTTCATTTCTGAATGATATTATATTATAATTTATCGAAAAAGGTTATTGAATTTCAAGTCATCATAGATCTTAGTTTTCTTAAATTTGGTAAGGTGGAATGATTTAGGACAGTGTAAACACCAGCTTTACTGATCGCAAATCAGCAGAAAAAAAGCATAAATATAAATAATGTAAAATAATTCTCAAAACAAATGATACGTTAGGCAGCTAATGGTACGAAACATATTCACCCGTGAACTGTGTACTGGCCCAGCTATACTATCAGCACATGGAACGAAGGTGACTTATCTTTATACCTGGATTAATTACGTGGGTTAATACCGTGACCTGTGTACTGGCCCAGCTATATTACCAGCACATGGAACGAAAGTGACTTATCTTTATACCTGGATTAATTACATGGGTTAATACCGTGACCTGTGTACTGGCCCAGCTATATTACCAGCACATGGAACGAAAGTGACTTATCTTTATACCTGGATTAATTACATGGGTTAATCCCGTGAACTATGTACTGGCCCAGCTATACTACCAGCACATGGAACGAAGGTGACTTATTTTTAAACCTGGATTAGTTGCATCTGTTAATTCTGTATAAAATTTAATGAAAAGGGCATATCTCTAACTTAGATGTTTCTGAAAATAACCGGCGAAAAAATAAATATATTGAAATAAAAGTGGGCTGTGCAACTAAATGTTTTGCATTAAACGTTTTTAATTGGGAATTTTTGTTAATAAAACCTTTGTTTTTTACTTCCACATTTCTTTCTTATACAGACGAAATAATATTATAATAATAATAGTGATAATAGTATAAAATAGTATTTGTTTGATATTTAAGTTTAATTCTATTATCTTTGAATGGAAAGATTCGTAATAAATAAAAATAAATTTCTAGTTTCCCGGAGTTTATACGCTAGCAGTATACTAAAAACAAATTTTAGATACTATTAATTCAGCTTAGTTTAAAATATTATCATACCATTTGGGATTACTGAAAGAAAGTTCCCTTTATTCTCACAGGCAATTTACAAATCGTCATAGATGGCGCTTAATGTTCTAAACATTCACTGTGTAGGTTTCTCAAACACCAATAAAATATGCGTTGAAGATCCAAACAAAGCGAAAAAAATGATGACTTGTAATTTCTCTTACATTTATGGCTTAGTAACAATACTAACTCTGCGCTCTTGACATAGATTTATCATTTTCTGGTGGGCTGAAATGGAGCGTTATGTAGATTATGTAATATCGCAATGAGAACATTCTATAAGATTAAAATGACTGCATAGGAAAGGAATGGAACAGCTGATTATTGTGCTACGTTAATCGAGCCTGAAATGTCTTATCCAAAACTTGGGAAGCTAGCAAGAAGAACGTAATAATCTGATTCGTTAGAAATTATCTACGCAATATTACACTATCTACGAACATCAGTGAAGTCGAGCATGTTAAATCGATGTATATACATATATCCTAACACATTCAACTTTTAAGGGAAAATATACAAATAAATGGCTAGAATTACTTTCATTGGAAATAAATAAGTATTTTTTAAGACCAACCCACCTTTATTGGGATCTTTATTAGAACCTTCTTAAGATGTACTACATCATTCCGAACTGCATATCAAGCATATCCTCAAACAAAGCTATATTTTAGTTATAATCTATTCTGGACAGCGTTCATTGATCTATACAATATATTTCACGGAAAGTCCAGTCTTATTCATAGCATTAATTTCGTATTAGTGAAGTAAAAGTCGTATTGTTAAGAAGTAAAATAAGATCAAACTTACGAGAAAAGAGACATATGTCCCATACCATCTCCAAACATTTGTGAATAAAACTTATGATTTTTTTTATGCGCTTCTGGTGAAATTGTTTCTTATAGAACAAGTAGGTTTTAAGATATAATAATTCTAAGTAAGCTTTGCTACCATCATTCTGTATTTCTAACATTATTTTATATTTTCAACCAATTTATGTAGATGTTGAAAGTTACTTATAACACTAGCAAGCGAACATCAGTTTTGTCAGTTTTTAAAAGTCTCATTCGCTTACGTCTTTTCCACTCTTTATAAATTACACATGGCCTTTTAAATCATTAAGTTAAAAACTGACGAAAATTTCATTTCTAAAAGCTTAACGTACGTAGTTGGTAATTGGTAGTTTAAAATGATTTCCGTATATCAAATAATTGAACTATCTGCTTTTATATCTATCTATCTATTCTTCAAGTTAGCTTAGTCGAAAATACATCTATTTTAAATATAAAAAAACGAAATAGTTAATGATTTATAAGTATTAGCAAATATTTTAAAAAAATTCTAAAAATTACTCACCTGTCATCTATTTCCAGTGAAAAAACATTGTATCTCTATAGCATTTAAATAAAATAAAGTCAGCACGACTTACTGGTGTTTAAGTTTTAAAATATGTCTTTTTCTCTTATGCTCACTTTCAGCAAGTATTCAATTCTATTGTCTACCGTGCACGATGGTCGAAAGAGCTGGACAACATACGTACCTTGGCCAGCAAGAAAATGGCGGCACTGTGAAGCAAGTTCTTCGAAAATTGGAATGTATACCTTGATTCTTTACCGACCAGAAAAGGTAAATGGTGTGTATGTAGACAAAATACTCAATTCCGTATTACCATTCAACATTGTTGAAGCTAGGAATAATCTTTAAAGACAGGAGCTGTTGTGATTTTACCGAACGGACACCCCAGATTTATATATGTATACATATGTTTCCACAGTCTTATTCTGTATGTAAACTTCCGCACTCTACTCTTTTGACTCGTCTCACCGCTTCAATACTTCTGCGTTTATGAGTCTTAGAAAATGGTCGTAAAACCGCTCTGACAAATTATTTGTATTTACTTGCTCATAAAACTGAGGTTATGTTTACACTAACCTACTGTCCTGCAGATTCTTTTTTTTTTTATGTAAGAAATATTCAAGCTAAACTCCTGGCTGCAAATATTTTTGGTTTTATATTGTGTCACTTCATGAGTCGGTCATGTAAAGATGCTCGTAAAACCGTTTACTAATTTGTAATGAAAACGAGGTAAATTATTTTTTTCTCTTTTGTAATGCTCGCCGATAGATGGATGAATGAATCGATCGGTGGGTTTGTTCAAGACGAATCTAAACACTTGGATGAAACAACAGACTCCGTTTTTACGGAGTTATATGAATTTTTCATCCTAATTGCCAGGTGTTGCAAATTACATAGCTCTACGTACAAATTTACATCACGGTAGCAGTATATCTATAAGTTTATGTAAACATAAGTGTTGCATCAACTAAATTCGTATATTAATTGCTATGTTAAAGTGATCGTAACTAAGTGCTTCTATTGACAACGCGTTTTGTAGCATATATATACACAGACACACATATATATATATATACATATACTGTCTATAACAATTTCTTTTAAAGTGTATTTGTTCATCATCATATATATATATATGCCAAACGACAAATGAATTCACACATCGTAAGGTATAATAATATTTTATTACAAGTTACAGTAAGGAAGAATATTTTTAAAACAGGTTCACCGGTGCGATCATTCTCAAGTACATAAGAATGATCACACCAGCGATTGAAACGTCGAGCCTGTTTTTAAAATACCCTTCCTTACTGTAAAAGCTATAACTCGAAATAAAATAATACTTATAATCAGTAAGTAAACCTCAAGTAGAAACTATTAAGATATAATATATTTGAAGCTTCTAGATTTGGTATTTTGTGATGTTAATCAAAGAGAGGAAAACTAGTCTCATGCAGATCCTATTTACTGCTCATTCAACTTAATGACAAATGTCCAGCTTGAAGCGAGTTATTTGGAAAGTATTTTCTGTTTGGGAAACGTGACGTCTGTACAATAGCGTTGCCTATTTTAGAAATAAAAACATTAAGTGCCTGCATCAGTCCTGAAAGTAAAGAGCAGAGAAGAAACATTATTAAGCTGATCTATTGTGTGTATATATACGGATTCAGTAAAAAAAACACACAAAAAAACGTTCTTCTTATTATTGGATGGTTATATCGCATCACAGCAACCACTACTTATCAAAACACCGAAATATTCAATCTGGGTTACTTGTATGAAAGGCACGGAACTTCATAAGCCAGGCAATAGGTTGTCCAAACGTCCCTGGATAAAGAATTACCATAAAAAACGGGAATCTGAAGGTGTTACACCTGCTGAATAAATTAAGAAAGTGTAAAAACTTGGAGTTTTTGCTGATATATTTAGTGCAAATTGAAGGGAAGTAAAAGGTCCCCATTTTATACACGTTAAATACCTCATCATACTTGAATATTACATTAAAAAGAAATGTTCTGTGGTTTACAGGTATATGTAGATGGATCGATATATAGAATATATGCACGCAAAGCAACTCAGTAAAAAAAATAACGAGGATGCTTTTCATGTTTTTAATGCACAAGTTAGTCTAAGATTCTCTCTGTATTGTGTCATGCTTATTTTTCAGTCAGTCTTTAGTAGAGCTTTTGGTTATGTTAGATTTTTTCCTTATAAGTTTATAATTGAAAATTGAAACTATTTTTAGCGAATTAAAGTATTGTTATTTTTCCGCTTACTTTAGTGAATTAAGTTCTTAGTGATCGGTTCTGGTTTTTTTGAGTGGGCCCAGTTGTTCAGCGCACCGTATACGGATGTACGGGTCCCCAGTTCGTGTCCTGTATACAGGTGTATGCGTCCAGCGTTCGTGTTCCGTTATCGCAAAAACAAAAGTCGCGCTTCGCGCTTTGGGGCCCTTGGTGCGTTATAAGGGTGACGGCCAAACTCCAAGCACTGTTAGGGCCTGACAAGACTAGCCCAAGAGTTAGCTGACTAGAAGATTTTTTTCTTGTCTGACAGTTCAAAATTAGGAACGGCAAGTGCAGAAATCCCTTGAGTAGTTTTGTACGAATATCGCAAAACAAATATACAAGGCATTTTAACTTCCTGCCCATAATCCGATGAATAGAAAAAAACAACCATAAGGAACTTTACAGCCTGTAGTTTACTATTTTCAAATCGTAAAAATGACTTTTGATCTTTCAGATTTTATTTTGATCTTTTACGATTAATCTTCAACCGACTTAGTACATATGTTAAAAGTCGTAAACTCTCATAGATGGCTGTTCTACGAGACAGGCAGAACAATCTTTGTCAGATGAGTAAGTAATCATTTTTTTTTTTACGGACGGAAAGAAGGGAAATATGTCGTGAAACTAGAAAAAAAAAAGAACAGGAACAAAAAACCTCACCCACTGTCATTTTTTAAGAATGTCAACTTTCTTGATAAAAAATCGTCTGTTTTGTACATAATTCTTAACCGATGTACTTATTAAACTGTAATGCATTATATAAGTTTCAAGTTTTATATACACGATTATATAAAACACTACATTTCATTAAATACTAATCAAATGTTTATTAATTTTTAATATAAACGCGCCAGTTTCTTACCATGGTTACATGTAAACAAAGTTATCTGCATAGCTAATCTGTTGGGATTATAATAATTTATATTAATACATTTCATAATAAAAAAAGAAAACAATAATGAGATAAGTACTGCTATTTCATTGTAAAGAAATGTGAATATATATATATACATCCCGATACACAATCTGGCAATATATATACATCCCGCCACACAATCTAGCAGTATATATACATATATATATATATATATATATATAC